AAACCTGCAAGCACTGGACGGTCGTTTCATTTCAGTATGCCACTACATAGTGGTGCGCACGCACGATTACGCACGCAGGAATGAAATGCAGAACATTCAATATGATGTGCAGACGCTTGACCTCTAGCCCACTCATATTTCAAGTGCACGGAATAATGTTGTTTTGTTATAACAGACTAAAATGCATCATAAAATACTTGGTTTTACAATAGATGTGATAATTATGCACTATAGTTGCTTAAAACAGAATTAACTTACATGAATTTAACACATTAATTAGACTGAGCCGGAGACATGTCATATGAAATTTTAAGCCTACTTGAAACTATAGTACTACTATTCATAATGTATTCAGACTGATTACTACTGCTCTGATAGTGTAGCTCTTGTTTCCCTAATACAGTTTATAAGCAAAGACTTAACAAGTAAATGTCACATATACTTGAACAAAAGAAATACGGAGCAATTCGGATACATCTCCTTTTGCTCGTTGTCAATCAGCCGTCTGCTCATCGTGCACTTTGATTAAGACAATGTACTTAAGGCTATTAGCACCTTAGGCATGGAAAAGTCAACAGGACCGGATGAACTAAACCCCGAAAACATTAGACGAATTGCTCAATATAATGTAGCCTCTCTGTGACATTTAATTATGTCACTTGACCAAGATGTGTTACCTACAGATTGGAGGGATGCATTCGCCACTCCAATATATAAAACAGGACCAAGACAATTTCCATCGAACTACAGACTTGTCAACATCACCAGTGTCGTAGTTAAAATGCTGAAAAGAATAGTCAAAAAGACCATAATGGCATTTGTGGAAACCAACAACTTGTTAAACAGCGAACCCCCTTATAGCAAGTGAGAAATGGATCAAGGCTCTAGATAATAGAAAATTAATGGATTTTGTCTTCACAGACTTCAGCAAAGCATTTGACAAGGTGCCAACAAATAGGCTGCTATTGAAGCTGGAAAATCTTGGGACTGCCGGATCTCTCCTAAAATGGCTTGAGGATTTCCTATTAGGTTGTAGAAAGAAAGTAAGAGTAAATTTGAAGTGCTCCACCTCGAGACCAGTACTTAGTGGAGTACTGCAAGGTTCTGTACTAGGTTCTTTACTTTTCATACTGTATGTAAATAATCTCCTAAGTATAGTTGAGTCCCCAGTATTATTATACTCAGATGATGTAAACGTTTGGCAAGAAATAATGGGAGACACAAGTGCATGCGCACTTCAGGTAGACTTAAGTATTGTGATTGGCTAGTCTAAAGAGTGATTAATGCGGCAAAGTGTTTCTATTTACACCTTGGAGATACAAAGGTAAATAGGTACTCATGGTCCGGTCTCACAAGGATCCTGGAGTGACAGCGAGTCACGATCTTAAAACCACTGCCCACTGCGGGCAGCTAAGAAGTCTAGAACCATATGAGATTCAGGACGGAAATTTACCAAGTTAAATACTATCATGTTCCCTATAGTCTACACAACCTTAGTGAGAACTAAGCTTGAAAACTGAGTTCAGGCTGCAAGCCCCATTGAAAAGGCGACTCGGATATCCTGGAAAAAGTACAGAGGACTCTACCCGTGCAACTCGAGAACTCCGGGGTTTACCTTACAAAGAGCAACTTGAAAGGCTAGACCTCTTCACTCTGTCCTATCGCAGATCAGGAGGCGATCTGATTTTGATTTATAGAATACTAAGAAATGATTTGGGACCTAAGATATCCTCTCTTTTTCTTCCCACTAGATTGGGACATCTCAGAAGAAATAACAGGCGAATCGAAAAGCCAAGAACGAACAAAATACCTGTGGCATACAGGTTTTCGCACAGTCAGCAATTCATGGGACTTGTTACCTGGAGCAGTGGTGTTCTCACCTTCAATTGACTCTTTCAAGAGAAGACTAGACAATCACGGAAACCTACTAGAAAAGGGATAACATAAACCGTAGGCCTTCTGTCCTTACTACACAAATCTGAATCTGAACTGGACTAACCCAGACACAGGTGCAACAAAAAATATTATTACGTTCCTTTCCGATATTTGAGATAAAGTCTTCAAACGGTAGAGAAATCCTGAAAATTGCCGTGTATTTAGCTACGCCATTTTCACTCACTTATTCATCGTCACCAACCCCTTAATTAAGTTGATCACAATCCAAACAATCTAACTCATCAAATAGTTTATAACATCCACTAGCAGAAGTAGTAGTGCTACTTCACTTATATTTCTGTATCTAGTACAGGTCTTTTTCAAAATAATAAGCTTTTCTCACATTATCAACTCTATCTGGAATCTTAGCCGTTATCTTACAATGTGATCCATTTATTTTGAACAATTCAACTTTTATGCTTATATCCTTATGTTTTTCTTCAAACTATATTTATTCTGACACGTCATTCAATGAAAAAATGTTTTTTTTTTCACTGGAGCTGTTGAATTATAATCAGATTCACTATCATAACAATATGAAAAACCGACTTGACTACCTTCACAAAGATCATAATTTTAAAGCCAAATATATGAAAGTTCACCTAAAAGGTCTTGTCATAGATCTAAAAGTACACCTACCCTCGCTTCTACATAATCTCATGCAGAAAACGATTCAACAAACCAAGGTTTACCTCAGTAATATCATCCCCTCTATGCAGTCAAAAGTTACTCTGGTTACCCAGAATAACTGACTATACAACAACAACAAAATGGTTAAAAACTACAACTTTTAAGTATTTGAGAATAAACAAGAATATTCCCAACAAAAGTGGATCAAATTTCTACCTGCAAGTATCAAATAGAATAATAAACTATGACAACAGAGTGTCTAAGACTAGCAATAATCAGTCACGACATACCTTAACCTTGAGTTCAGTCAAACACGGACTTGTTTTAAGTGTTTCAAAATCACACAACAACAAAATGAAATCATAAAGGCAAATTTTAACCAGAGTCAAATGATAAAGACTTGGTCAAAGAAGATTAAGAAATATAAAAATGTAGTTACACAAGTCCTGGATAAAAGTTAATTTATACAAAACAAATGGAAAAATTCAAGAAATGAAAGGAATATAATTACTTCAGATACTGTGGGAAGCATGCAGAACAGTGTGAGTAAGGAAATTTGGAAAGGAAAAGTACAGTAGAAAAAGTGAGGCAAAGACTCAGTGAGAGCATTAGAATACATTTACATTTAATGATAAAAGTAATCAATGGCAATGAGTAATAACAAAGGCGTCAGATTCAGACAACCTGATAATCAAAACTAGAAGTTGATAGAGTAGGGTTTTAAATTTGTTACACTTAATTGCCTTTATCATTTGTATTAACTATATCCATGATTCATTTCCTTCGCAACCTGAAATAAGAAAAATTGTAAATATGTAGAACAAATTACGAGAATATAGAGGTAACAGTGTAAACCCTTATGGTAAAAATGATCTTACAAAAATTCTAAACATGATACTGGATTATATTGTAGAAATTACTAGAGAAACAAGAGAGAAGATAGTTTCTACAAAAACGATAAAACTAAACTATAGAAGTAAGAATAAGTGGATCGTTAGGTCATCTTGACAATTCTTAACACTTCAGCCAAACACTGCTGAGGAGTCTCACAATAGGACGAAACGGCCGTCCAGTGCTTCCAGGTTTTCCATGGTGGTCTAGCTACAATTGACTCATGATCTCAACTATTAAACAGAAAATAGCAAAGATAGGCAAATAATACCTAATACTAGAACTAACATTGAAGCTTTAAGATTTAGAATTAGGATTTAGCTTTAGGGTTTCACAATCTGATAATGCTTTACAGTTATTCTCTATGTATCTTAATCCTAACTCTAACCCTAAATCATAGTCCTAGCAATCCACATCCTTTTAAATGGCTTAGGATATTTTCACCAGTGAAATTATTCAGAATACAATCTATAGGCAACAGACTGTTTTGATACATACACCGTAATCTTGAAACAACTTAGCCATTTCAGATTGATCCACCTTTATAGTTCAGCGTTAAATATATTCGACAATATCAAGACCAAGAGAGTAATAAGGCGTAAAAAACACCCGCAACACAAATACAAATTAAAACAAATATATATTTCACTTAGAATCCGAAGACTGAATAAACCAGCACTATAAATGAAAATCTTCCGTTTTGACTCTTCATACTAGGAAATTTCCAGAGTAATCAACAAAGTTCGGTAACACTATAATTTATGGACGCTAAAGTGACCTTGAGACAACTCTCCTACTTACTAGGGTCCAAAGAGGGTTATAAATGAGTATGAGAAATTAAGATTTAGAGTTTAAATTTTAGGTTAGGAATTAAAGTAACGGTTTTCATCACTAACTGACACTGGCCATAATGGCAAAATGCTGTTTAACTATGTAGATTAATGAAATTCGTGCCAACGTCCAATATTTTGTCGTCTCTATATTCTTAATCAAAAGTTTTATCAATGATGACAAAACCGTATGAGGGTAGATGGAATAAAATTTCGCGATCGATATGTTGTTTTCACTGTCTTAAATCTGATTAATTTCGAATTTAAACTTTCAGTTGGAAATCTGTAACAGACTCCTATGATGGTCAATCATGATATTACATATATGCATACATACCGAGGTTTAATAATTTTGTTGCTACGTTCCTCTGACAAGTAGTGTCATACAGTAATACATGCATATCTATAAAACTTTGTGAAATAAGATTGATAGATTCCTATCAGGGATGTATTTGTGTTAGTGTTTCTAGCTGATCTGACAAAACTAACCAATGACCCTCAAATTGATTGTATAAAACCTAATCCAATAGATAATCGATTACATTTATGAAAAAGATTGTATTTGTAAGCGTAGGTGGTAGTGGGGTTAGATCGTTAGGGGAGAGAATGATAATCAAACTACTAAATGACAATTAATCAACCAATCAAAAACAGTTCTATTTATGAACTTGATTACGATAGTTTCCCTTAGAAAAATTTGTCTGATTTGCCTACATACACACATATCAACAAATTGAAGGCATACATACCTAACGTGTAAATAACCTTGGCAAACGAGGTAATAGGAAAATGAATAATAATAAATATCATTATCATAAATTTATGAGCTCGTTAGTTGGTGAGCAAGAGTGGAACTGAAAATCGACAAAATTATACGCCGCAAATCGATCCACGACGTGATGCTAAGTTTGGGAAATTAATGAAGAGAATCATATTGATGATTACTATTAATGATAAAATAACAATTAATATAATGGATCTGTATCGATAATTCTTAGTCGAATAGAATAGATGAAGTGATCAGTGTTATTTTTCCATTCTATCTGTTCATATCTGTCATTTTTGTTTTCTGGATCAAACACTGAATATTCTTCTCAAAAGGATATAAATTCTCATCTTATACACTTTTGATTTAATGTTATCAGTACACTATGAATGGATTAAAGAATATTATGTTAAAAAAGTAGATTGTATTAAAGAAGTATGTTGGACTGAATCCAAATCTCAATCGAACCAACCATGTTTTTATTATTGAAGAGAGTGAGTTGACAATAAAATAACCACTTTTTATTGATTTGGTTGTTACATTAAATCTTGTGCAATAAAGTTTACAAGGAAAGTAAATAGATGATAATTGGTTTACAACTTATTTGCTCTATAATAACTCATCCAGTAATGGGACAGTTTTATTAGTACGATCAATATTTGGCGTTTTAGATTATTTTATTTATTTCTTAATTCATTTACCAGGTACAGATTCGTGTGCTTGGTTTCGAGCTGCACTTTAAATTTAAGGGCTAGTGATGCTATCTGGCTGAGCAAATTGACTACATAAGTATGATGCTAGCTTAGAGTAGATGAAGCCCAACGATTACATGTTTGTATGGTTGGTTGGTTGCATATGGTCTTCGTTATAACAAGCTATCTGGTTGGGGTCCACGTGATTAACGTAACGAGTGGTTGGGAATGTTGGGTCATAATAGCTGTGATGCATTCATTCAATTTTTTACGTTAATTACAGATCTTAGGATCCGCCTAACCTTTCCTACTAATACTATTGGTATTACTGATATTGTTACCATTTCTATCACTCTGACACCTCACCGTACTGATTTGATGTGACAACTGAAACTAATGCATAGATATCCCAGGCCCAACGTCCCGTATAACTGACTGACATCATTATCATTCATAAGTATGAACTTTATTTATCTGGAAATTAGCTCACAGTTACATCATTTCCAACCAAGATTTTATGTTATGAACAAGATTGTTTTGTTTGAATTGTACTTCAATAAATTGACTAATATCAGATGGGCTTTTGTGGATATTATAGTAATTTCAATGGTTAAGATCATTAGTGGTCTAATGGTTAAGCGCTCGCGCGCGAGACTGTTAGGTCCTGGGTTCGAATTTCGTGGGGGGCGAGGTCGTGGATGCGCACTGATGAGGAGTCCCGCAATAGGACGAAACGGCCGTCCAGTGCTTCCAGGTTCTCCATGGTGGTCTAGCTTCAACTGACTCATGATCTTAACCATTGAAATTGACGAATGTTTAGACATTTCTTAAATTCCAGTCAATTGATAGCCAACTCTAAAACACTAATTATATTATATTTCACTTCGAAGTTGCAGTTTTAGCAAAGCCTCCAAATCACTTGAGTTTGGCTAGCTTATTTTCTAAAAGGCATTAAATCGTGCTTAGATTTCCCGAAAACACTGCATTGTTCATAAACTACAATGCACATTTAAATTCAATACAACCAAATCGTTTAATTCAACTTAGATCAGGCGGAATTAGGTACAATTGTGAAATTATCTCATGCTATAAAATCAAATAAATCAAAATGTGATGCCTTATAGGTTTTGCAACAAAATTCCAAGATTTGTTCTGTCTATTTCCAAAAAAAGCACCATTACAGAGGTATGATGGAACAAATTGATTGTGCTTTAGTTGGACAGAAATGGTGCTGTAATAATGCTAATGCTTGTGACATTATCACTGAGTAGTGACCAATTCATTTTTGTCTAGTCCTTAGTGTAGATTGAAACACCGTTGAATGCTGATTCAGTAGTCTAGAGATTAAGCGTTCGCTCTAGATTGAGCGTACTGAGTTCGAGTCCCACGTGTGGGATCGTGGATACGCACTACCAAGCAGTCCCATACTAGAACGAAACGGCCGTCCAATGATTCCACGTTTTCGATAGTGGTCTAAGATCTCGATAGACTGAAATCTACTAGTTAAGTCGTAATCTGAATCAAATCAGTAAGGATCAGTTTCTTTCATGTAAACTGCTGTACAAAAACAAACATGTGAACGGGCATTTTTATAGATTAATCGTTTTTCTCAGTAGTTCACATGAACAACATGAAAATTATGTTGAGCTATTTAAAAATATTTCCATCCTATCAAATATTCAGCAGGAAACTGATGTGAAGTCATGTGTTGGTCCAGTGTTTCAAGCTCTCATTGTTTCTTTAAGTGACTCCAGTTCGTAATGAATACTGCATTTAAATGACATGAAGTACTTACTAAACTATTCATATAAGATTTTTTTATAGACATATGAAATAGTAACCTGTAGTTTAGATCTTTACTTGATTGGTAGGTGAAAATCTATAAAGTGAACTATATTCTTGAATTCTTTTATCTATTGTTAAGTTGGTTCATCTACAAATACCTTTAAACAAGTTAGTAGCTATTAGGAATCGAAGGCGAAAGGAACTAGATTTGAGCCATAATGTAAAAATCAACAGTTAGATGGAAGTAACTTCATCTGATAAGTTTCGAACAGGATGAAGTCTGGGTCCAAGACTCTATTACTAGTTACAATACAATCTATCATATATAACATTTGATAAGAGGTTTGAACAAATACTTCAGTTTTGACACCTAAGTATTATGACAGTAAATCAAGCACTTTTAACTGTCAAATTCAATAAATATCATTAGAAATACACAAATTTCTAGTGGTTTCTTATTGTATTGAATTTTATACATTTTTATCACCATCTTGGTAGATTAGAACAATGAACAAACAACACTGCTCCCCTACCTAATGTCCGTAGTGATAACAATAATCATAATTAGTACATGTAATTATGAAATAATAACAATGATAGTGTAGTGAACGAGAACACAAATAGGACAGCATATTTACAGAATATCTTGGTAAAATCTGATAACCATATAGTAAATACTTCACTAGAAAAATATCCATCAATTGTCTCAGACTTTTTTTTCTTTCGTTTCCATATCGGTCACTCTTTGTTCTCGTTCTCTGCTTTTCGATTTTCTCAACCTTCTGCCTCCAGGTATTCCACTTTCGATTGGTGGTACATATTACTTATGTCTGTCGACATCAGTAGCATGAACCAAAATAGTAATAATAATAATTCTTATTATTTTTTGAATTTATTAATAGTGAGACGATTAATGAAACGATCTTCCATAATTGATTAGCTTGATGAATAATACTATATGACATGTGGAACATTTTTTATACTTAAAATAATGTTAAATATAATATTATGGTAAACACAAAAATATTGGCATACCATATGTTTCCGCTGATAACTTATTTCGTTACTTCCGAATACCTAGATCCATACAGGATACATTTTATTTTATAAATATGAAATGGTGTTTTTTTCTACTTTTGACGTTTAAAAAATTGATCAGTAAACTTTATACCGTTGTTTACTGAGAATTTTACACTACTCTCAGGTAAATTTAATCATGGACTGACGTTATATGTAGCATCGTTTCAGATTAAGAAGCATTGAACTAATGCTTTATCCCATTTTGTGATATCTCAGTCTGGTTAGTTTGCGCATCGTAGAACTTGCCAAATATTGACATCACTTCCAATATGTATTATTTAGACTGAATCATCAGTTAAATGGATGCGCGGTATTAGGTGGTGCAGGGTTAGGTTGGACCAACCAAACCAAAATGCGACCTCAGTCCATAAAGTTATCGACATTTATACATTACCCGTGCTAGCAGGCGTAAACTACCTAGTTCAGGTTCGGCTGTTGGAGATGTTGAGTTACATAAACCAGAATCGACCAAAATGGCTCAGGCGCTGTCCATTAGACCCTAAGTCTTGAAATTATCTTAAACTTTATTCCAGCAATTCACTCTTCCTTCTCGAATCCTATCTACTATCACTCGTATTGCTACAACTTCTAACATGTCGTTTTGTTATGCTAAATTGATGTGGCAACTTGAAGTGGAGCACATGGATGACCGAGTAAATATAAGCAATGAAAGTTATATTAAAACCCCTAATGATTAACGAAAAACGACATATTTTTCCTTGGTCATAGAAACTACACTACCCTATTATCGTAGATTCTTACTGACGGAAACTACCATAAATTCAATGATAAACGCAACATATTATTAAGGACACCGTTGAATCCCAGCTCAGTGGTCTAGAAGTTTTTTGGGGAGATCTAGAAAACTCACCGAAAAAAGCTAACGAAGGCTCTGAAAACAATGAGAAGCATCTTATGCAATCAGCACTCAATAGAAGTCTTGCCAGAAACATCTAGAAAGTTAAAGGTCAAATGTCGAGTTTCTGATTGAATGATTACCTATACTGTTACTATGTTTAGTAGCGTTCCTGAATTTTCCGGAAACCCATGGCCATCTAAAATACTGTAAAAAACCCCAGAATTTCTGTACATAAACGAACCTTTGGAGTAAAGCGTTTCTTCTATATTTCGCTTGTTCAAATTACTGTGTAGATCTAGCCTGGTGGTTACCAGCAAGAATCGAATCTAGCCTTCAATTAGAAGGCTTATCAAGGTTAAGCGTTCACATACGCGATTGAAGGACCTGGGCTTGGTTCCTATATGCAGCGTCGTGAATGCACACTGTTTCGCAGTTCCATGCTAGGACGAAAAGGCCTTTCCGTGCTTCTTAATTATCAGTGGTGATCTGGCTTATACCAGTTCGTGATTTGAATGAAATTTAACATTCTCGACAACCTCATACTGACAGTCAAGGATAGTTTTTGTTGATGTGTAATGATCTTACCATTTCTCACACGAACTCGTGTTCAGTTCTCATAATGTACAATATAATTAACCTTAATAAATGAACTGTTCACATTACTAATAACAGTAATTAATTAGCATATTCAATACTTAATTATTAGAAAATCAAATTATCTGCACATCACCAAAATGTTGATTCATATGCAGTATTGCTTAACAATTGATGACATTTGAGGAGACTAACTTTTGTATCATTAATGGGAAACAACTCAAATGATATAAGATTGAATGTACTCTTATTGATATATTATTTATCTACCATATAATCTAAGTTTAATTTAACTGAACAAAATAATTGATTATTTTTAATGCAATCATAGCTCTATGCATTACACTTCTTTACAACAACTTAGATTGTGGTAATTACGGTAAAAGTATAGTTTATTGATGAACCAATCAGATTCTAGAGAGAGCCAAATGGAGTTTTGCGCGTAATTCAAAACCCAATAACAGATGGCATATTACCATACTAC